CAGATACCTGCTCGGTTTACAAGACATCACATATTTGCAAAAGTGCTCCGACGTTTTCGGAGATCTGACACCCACCATCTTGAAGCTAACGGGAGGTCGAGACCTACTACAGCCGGGAGGAACCGGCACATCGTGCCTCGACCTCCTGGTCGGCTTTGAGCTGGCGGCCTCCGAAGAATGCGACTAAAACTTTTGCGAGATCCCGAGTTTGTTTTGCGAGATCTCGCAAAAGTCCGTCTTAATTTTTTTTTTCTCCCATGTCCCCTGCGGGGCTCCGTAGTTTTCTTGTTTTCATGATGGGTGGTAAAATACTTTTGTTAAGAATCATACATAAGTTTGAGGGACAGTTGGTGGCATAAGTTTAGCTTAATTCATGACTGCGAAAAATAACAATTCTTGCAGTGGTTTTAAATGAATTGTACATACTTTGTTTTATTTTCCAGGACCAGAACCTGACATCCCCGTTGTCATTCAAGAGTTGCCATCAGCTCCGATATATCAAGGAGACTCAGTAACTCTACAGTGTTCGGTCCTCTCTGACCTGCAGAAGAATACATGTCCAGAGGATGTGTACTGGTTCAGAGCAGGAATGGATGAAACATATCCCAGTGTGGTTTACGTTTATAGAAGCAGTGGTGATGAATGTGAGAGGCAGTCTGATGTTCATTCTCCTCGAAAATGTGTCTACAACTTCTCAAAGAGCAATATCAGCTCTTCTGATTCTGGAAACTACTATTGTGCTGTGGCAACATGTGGACATATCATTTTTGGTAATGGAGCAAAATTGAATATTAAAGGTAACAACCTTTATGTAATATATGAATCTTCAGATCTACAAAATATTTGTAGTTTTCAGGAGGCACATTTAAGGAAATGTTTTCATAGCGATTAACCTTTCGTGTTTGATCCTTTTGTTTTTCAGACAACATTTGGTCATGTGGTGATTCTCAGGTGGTCAACACAGTTGTGTTTCTTTTGTGTGCTGTTTTGGCAATAAGTTTGATGGTCATAGCCTTACTGAGCTATATGATCAACAAAAAGTCATATAAATTTTCAAATGGTAATCAGTTTTCCTTTATACTTATTTATACCTAATTTGCAGTATATTCTGAATTCCAGTAAATCTTATTTTTCTTTTAGGTTCCTTTAATTCAGGTGCTGTAGCAGTGCAACTGAATTATACCATGACCACTAGTAATCAACTAAATCAGAAGGTAAGTTATTTTAAACATACATACATACATTGTAACACTACTGTTATTACTTTTATATATTTGTCATCTCACAGTTTTTGCAAAATTTATTCTTTTTTTTCAGATCTTACAGGATACAGGGCTTCATACTGTGGTTGTGTTCAGGTTGACTAAGACAGCTATGATGATGGAAAGAGATATACAAGTACAGCGTAATGACTAAACCTGTATGGTGCTTCGGACCTACAGTGGATTTGGATGAACTTTAGAAATTTTATGTCTGTCCCACATAGCGAAATTGGTATGGCCCGCATCTGGCCCACACAATGTGCTTACACATGGACCACATACAAAGAATGATGGCCCTTTGGTGGCCCAGATCTGGTTTGCCAGAGGTGGCCCACACATGGGCCAGCACAAGGCCAGTTGCAGACACACTGGTGGTCCTGTGCTGGCCCAGAACAGTTTCAGCTCTGGCCACAGATGTCAGCCTAATGTGTACCTTAATCAAGCCATCTAATAACAACATGTGCTGGATAATAATAGTGCAAAAGTAAGATGATGAACTCTGTTCAGACAGCGCTTTTCTAGTCTCCTGTATTACTCAAAGTGCTCTATACAGCATGCCACATTCACCCAATCACACACACTTTCTCTAAACTGAGTGCTTCCTAACTACATTCATACAAATTCACACTCTTGACATGCAGACTAAAGGGTTCAGGGAACGAACCACTAATCTTACCCTCAGCAGGTGACCTGCTCTACCTCCTGAGCTACAGCCACCCGGTGGTAAACATGAGTAAACCCTCACTAGGTTTTGGATAAAGTGTGTACTCGCAAACTTGTCAAACCTGCATTTGAAATGTTGGCTACCACAGCAGTATAGTATTGCAACATGGCATTTGGGTCTTCTAACTAAAATTGTCATTGCCATACCTGGCCAACATCTGGTTGGCATACACCCTGCCATGACACCAGTCAGTCACAAGTGCCAGCTTGATGCCAGATCCGGGCCAGACCTGTTTTACATGAGCCTGGGCCACATAAACCAAATCATAATCGGGCTAGATGTGGCATGCTATCCTACCTACGCCAGGCTTGGCCCATATCTGAATGACATACCATTTACTATACCAGAAGTCAGCCAGCAGTGCCGGCTTGACACCAGATCCGGGCCAGACCTGTCTGCTATGTGGGGTAGCATCAGTGTGTCTAGTGCCTGATGATCCTCAACTGCGATTTCCATATCTATGTGTAAATGAAAAATGTGGACATTAATCAGTTGTAGAATCATTTTTTGCTTCATTCTAATAGTTGTTTGTAAATATAAAAAGTACATTTTAAAGATGATAACAAAGTTCTTTATAGTCTTGGCAATAATGAATAGTTTGTGTGACAATTAGCAAAACCACATGCAGCAGATTCACTGTGACTAACCATCAAGAACGTTATGTTATTAGGATTTAAGTGCAAGAACCACAAAAGGCCTGTGCAGTCTCAGGTTTAACCATGTTTGTGTGTTTGCTGTGCATTCTGTTGTCAGTCAAAACTCTTGACAACTTGCAAGTGTTTGCTTTCAAATCTTATGCAAATCTTTGACATATGATCTCCCACGTAGCTACATTGCATATGTAGGCTGTTGCAAGTACAGGCAGAAAAACCAGGGCAGCTTCATCGTATTTTGCCCAGAGCCCTGGTTCTCCTACTATCAATTACCACTCTGTTCTGTATTATCTGGGATTCAGCTGGTATACTGACAGAACAGGAACTCATGTGCTTTTTAACACCATAGGAGCAGTGTGAAAAGATAATTATGCCCCCTGCCAGAGGTATCTTAGTGGAAGTGTTATCCATGGCAAAGCATTCACAATATAATAAAAAACATAATGGCCAGGTCTCAATGTTTGAAATAGCTCTCTGCCACATAAATGTTTTTGTGACTGTTGGTTATGTAATGTGAAAAATTGGTGATGGGTTTTTAAAAAATACAATGTGCTGGAAGCAGTCAACTTAAGTTACAAATGTTTAATTTTCTGATTTATTGTATTCAAATAAAATAAATAATATTTTTCATTATTGTAGAGTATCTGTAGCTTGTTAGCTCACTGTAAAAATAACATTACATTTACTGGGGAGCCTTACTTTCAAAGCTACTTTTCTAATTATACAACTCAATAAAGACGGCAAAGTTAATTGTAATGCTGACTTTCAGAACTAATAACAGCTATCCTCATGGGGTTTGTCAGATGCATGGTGAGAAAGTACAACATCAACCAAAGGCTCCCGTAACTGATCATTTTAGCTGAACTGTCTGGAAATGACAGAAGTGCTTGTCATCCAGTATGTTGAAAGCTGCCCCAAGTTCAAAAAAGATCATTTTGTCAGAATCAATTAGAATTGTGCTTTAAAAGTGCTTTACAAACCCAAACATTTCAGTTACCAGTCAGATTTTCCTCATTTCAGTGCACCTAGCCAAACAATGAGGAACCACTCACTGGGAGAGTGAAAGTGAAAGCAATACTTTTTTTTAAAAAAATCATTTATTTATTTAGCAGGTTACTAAGAATAACAATAAGTAACAAAAATACATTTAATTTTCAGTTAAATTCAGTTTTCTTTATATAGTGCCACACATGACAGCCATGTTTAGGTGTTTTATATTGTAAGGAAAAATCCTACAATAGTAAAGAAAAAAGCAACAATCAAACAACCCCTATAAGCAGGCACTTGGTAAAAGTAGCAAAGAAAAACATTTTAAGAGGAAGAAACCTCCAGATGGACCAGGCACAGCGAGGTGCCGTCATCTGTTCAATACACCCCCCTGCAGCAGAGGGGGGAGGAAGAGGAGTAAGGCAAGTAGCTAAAGTAGCAAGAGCAATGAGGGGAGAACCAGAGAAATGTGAGATCTTTGGTAGTGAAGATGGCAGTGACAACGATGAGCCTAAGAATTTTGCCAGGAGCAGCAGGAAGAGGGCAGTGACGGTGAGGTTTGAAGGAGGGAACAAAAAAGACAGCCGGAGCCTTCCTGTGACACTTCTAAGTGTCACAGGAACTTATATACAGAAAGGCACAGTGAAATATAAGTGTTCAGTAGCCCCGGTGGAGCAAAAACAAAAATAAATACATTCATATTTTGCACAATTTAGCAACATGACAATAAAAAGCATTAAAAAGCTCATTTACAATAGTGCAGTCAAACTTCTAAGTGTCACAGTAAATTTTAGACAGAAAGGAACAGTCAAATATTATTTTTCAGTAGCAGTGGTGGAGGTGTGATAGGCCCTGTGACAGTTCCTGTCCACAATAACGCACCAAGCCACTTTGCATGCCTCATACTTGAATAGTGTGCACTTCCCACACAGCTTTCACTTCCTGTGCCCCTTTGTGGCTTTGTTTTGACCAGGTACCACTTCAACAATAGCAACTGGGACTTGTTGGTAGCTCCAGTGGGCTAGTTGTGGGGACAGCCCAAACAGAGCTCAACGATCAACTGCTTCTGGAAATCGTTGTGTGTCATTGACTGCTGCTCCAGTCTGCCACAGAGCTCCTTGCTGACCAGATAGCTGTTTGTGACAGAAATGTCTATAAAGCGATGCAGCACTGTCACGTACCACTTCCTGCTGTTTCTGCATGAAGAATAGGAGCCAATCAGCTGGTCTGACAGGTTAACTCCTTCTATAAAGCGGTTGTAGTCCTTTACAGCTGGTGACACTGGCACCTTAAGCCTTCAACCTTGCACATCCTTTTCACAGTGTCCCCTGAAAAGGCACTGTGCTGAGCTGAGCACACACTCACCTACCTTGGGTCCATCCACTTGATAAAAATAAGAGGGCCCTCTCTGATCCATCTGATTGTCCCTCGTGGAGATTTTTTTGTCAGGGCATTAACTTTGGTTTGGGGACTCCAACTCTTGTGTTCCGAAATGCTCCAAACCCCAGGTCATGAAGGTGGGGAAAAAGTGCTGTATAAAAGTTAGTAAATGCGATATCCAGTTACCAGGTAGTTTTTGTTTATGATTACAGCATCAAATGACAGCCCCTTCCCAGTTACCAGAGTTGACCTCGCTGTATAAGTCCACTGTGTAGCCTGTGTTGTCAGACAGCACAAAAAGTTTTATCCCTCACTTTGTTGGCTTGCTTTTTATGCATTGCTTCAGGGCAACTCTGGCTTTGGTGGAGACCACAGAGAGGTTTTGCTGTGGGTGTTATACAGCTTTGCAGGCTACATGTAAACTGTCATACAGGGGACGTAGTCTGTGCAGGCAGTCATAGGCAGTTGCCTCAAGGCGCTTTATATTGCAAGGTACACCCTACCATAATGCTTACAGAGAAAAACCCAACAATCATATTGTTGGAGTCAAATTGATAAATGTCACTGTGTTTCTTAAATTTGCAAAGTCTTAGTTCAAGCAGCAGGATCAAAGACATTCCTTTGTCTCTGACCACCTCTCCAGCCACTCTGGTGCTGGGGGAGGCTGAAGTGTTTTTATTAGGCACATCCAATCTGAAAGATCTGTTTCTTGTCTGGTAAGCTTCCTGCTTTTATGACCCTTCTGTGATCAGCAGGAGGTCACAAAAACACACTCCCATGACACAAACATGTACACACACATGCACACACACATTCTCTCACACACACACACGTTCTTGCATATGCATACACACACACACAGGTGCTTACACGTGCACACACATACACACATAGTGCCTTGTCTTTTAGAACCATAGGGGGGTTTTAGGGAGGTGCTTGTGTAAACTGTAACTGTAACTGTCATGGAAATAAATAGCTGCGAGGAGGGCTGCTTGTTGAAGAAGTTGGGTTGGAGATGGGTGAGGAGCGTTGAGCTCCCAGAGCCTGGTTCCGACCAGCCTTCCCTTGCTAGCAAGTAAAACCCGGTTCCGTCTTGTTTTTGTCGTTAACGAGAATAAGTCTCTAAACTAGCAAGGCCTGTGGAAGCGCAGACCCAACACATATGACCCCCTATGAGCAAGCACTTTGGCAACAGTGGGAAGGAAAAATTCCCTTTTAATAGGAAAAAACCTCCGGCAGAACCAGACTTG